TACCGTTTTGAGTTCAACAATGTAACAGTAAAGTAGAAAGTAACACAAGGTATTTGAGTTCAACACATAGTAAAGAAGAGTAGAAAAAGTAACAAGGTATTATGAGTATTCAACAAGTAGAGAAGTAGAAGTTCAGAGTATTTGAGTTCAACCATGTAAGAGTAGAAAAGATAAGGTATATTGAGTCAACAAGTAAGAAGTAGAAAAAAGGTTACAGGTAAATAATTGAGAGTCATCAACAAGTAAAGAAGAGAAGATAAAGAAAAAGTTCAGGTAATATATGAGTTCAACATGTAACGAGTAGAAAGCTACAGGATAATTTGAGATATCAAAAACATGATAAGAAGTAGAAAGTAACAGGTATTTGGGTCAACAGTAAGAAGTAGTCAAAGTAACAAGGAATAATATTTGTGTTAACAACATGCTAAAGAAAGATAGAAAAGTACAAGAGATATGTTGTAGTATCAACATGATTAGAAGAAATAGTAGAAAGGTACAGAAAAGTAATTTATGTGTTCAACCATAGTAGAAGTAGAAAGTACAGGTAATTTGAGTTTCAAACTGTTAATAAAAGAAAATCAGAAATGTACAGGTATTTGGAGTTTCAACATGTATAGAAGTTAGAACGTAATAAAAAGAAAGTAGGTCAGAAAAACTCAAGTAGTGGGAGTAAAGTACTGAGACCAGAAACATGTACTGAAGTACAGTAACAAAGTAATTTGTACTCCACTTCTTCCCACCTCTGTACACATGTAGTATAAGTACACACATAATATATTACAGTATGATTGTAGTATAGGTGCTCACCAGACGGCGCTGAGGTTGATGTGCCGGGTGAAGTTGAGGTCTTCCTTCCTCTGGTAGCTCACGGTGCAAGAAAGTACAGACCTCGTAGCTCCCCATCATGACGTGGACCCCTCAGGCTGAGCGCCCCTCAGTGCTGCGGTTAACCCCCAACGAACGGGGGGCGCTTACATTTCTGACATCACAGAGCACAGGGTTTTCAATACTGAGCTTTAAAGAGACAACTATTATGCAAAATGTCTCTTCTACATCACATGTGTCCCCTCTGTGTGAAAGAGAGTGTGTCCCCCTCTCTAACACAGAGGGGACACATGTCTCTTTCTACATCAGCATGTCTCCCCCTCTTCTTTCATGTATCTTCTACATCAACATGTGTCCCCTCTTCTTCATGTCTCTTCATACATCAACATGTGTCCCCTCTTCTTCACTGTCTCTTCCTACATCAACATGTGTCCACTCTGTGTAAGAGAGTGTGTCCCCTCTCTAACACAGAGGGGACACATGTCTATTCTACATCAACATGTCTCCCCTCTTCTTCATGTCTCTTCTACATCAACATGTGTCCCCTCTTCTTCATGTCCCTCTTCTTACATCAACATGTGTCCCTCCCTTTCCATGTCTCTTCTACATCAACTGTGCACCTCTTCTTCATGTCTCTTCTACAATCAACATGTGTCCCCTCTTTCTTCATGTCTCTTCTACCATCAACATGTGTCCCCTCTTCTTCATGTCTCTTCTACAGTCAACATGTGTCCCCTCTTCTTCATGTCCTTCTTCTACATCAACATGTGCCCCTTCTTCTCCATGTCTCTTCTACATCCAACATGTGTCCCCTCTTCTTCATGTCTCTTCTACAATCAACATGTTCCCCTCTTCTTCATGTCTCTTCTACATCAAACACGTGTCCTCTTCTTCAATGTCTCTTCTACATCAACATGGTGTCCTCTTCTTCATGTCTCTTCTACCCATCAAACATGATGTCCCCCTCTTCTTCAATGTCTCTTCTACATCAAACATGTGTCCTCTCCCTTCTTCATGTCTCTTCTACATCAACATGTGGTCCCCATCTTCCTCCCAGGTCTCTTTTACATCAACATGTGTCCTCTTCTTTCATGTCTCTTCTTACATCAAACATGTGGGTCCCTTCTTCTTCATGTTCATTCAATACACCAACATGTGTCCCCTTTTCTTCATGTCTCTTCCTACATCAACATGTGTCCCTCTTCTTCATGTCTCCTTCTACATCAACATGTGGTCCCCTCTTTCTTTCATGTCTCTTCTACATCAGCATGTGTCCCCTCTTCTTCATGTCCTCTTCTACATCAACATGTGTCCTCGTCCTCATGTCTCTTCCCTACATCAACATGTGTCCTCTCTTCTTCATGGTCTTTCTACCATCAAAGCTGTGTCCTCTTCCTTCATGTCTCTTCTACATCAACATGTGTCCCCCCTTCTTCATGTCTCTTCCTACATCAACATGTGTCCCCTCTTCTCCATGTCTCTTCTACTATCACATGTGTCCTCTTCTCCGTGTCTCTTCTACATCAACATGTGTCCCCTCTCTCATGTCTCTTCTACATCAACATTGTCCCCTCTTCTCATGTCTTCTACATCAACATGTGTCCCCCTCTTCTCGCATGGTCTCCTCTACATCAACATGTGTCCCTCTTCTTCATGTCTCTTCTACATCACCATGTGTCCCTCTTCTCCCCATGTTCTTCTACATCAACATGTGTCCCTCTTCTCCATGTCTGCCCTCTACATCAACATGTTTCCCCTCTTCTTCATGTCTCTTCTACATCACCATGTGTCCCTCATTCTCATGTCTCTTCTACATCAAATGTGCCCCCTCTTCTCCATGTTCCTCTAACATCAAGCATGTGTTCCCCTCTTCTCCATGTCTCTTCTTACATCAACATGTGTCCCCTCTTCTTCCCATGTCTCTTCTACATCAACATGTGTCCCCTCTTCTTCATGTCCTCTTCTACATCAACAGTGTGTCCCCCTCTTCTTCCATGTCTCTTCTACATCACATGTGTCTCACTCTTCTTCATGTCTCTTCTAACAATCAACATGTGTCTCCTCTTCTCCCATGTCTTCTTACTACATCACATGTGTCCCTTTTTCTGTCCTCATGTCTCTTCTACCCATCAACATGTGTCCCCTCTGTGGAAAGAGACTCTGAAAGTTTCAGGAACAAAGATTCTCTCTCTTTTTGATCCACTTCTATAAAAACCTGTCTGAAAATGAGCTGATCGGATTTTGGACACTTTATGATGTCATAACGATGTTTTGTCTTGTGTAGCCATTAGCCAATCAGCACCAATCCCCCCCCTTATCACCTGAACCTCCTCCTAGAGCACCATTGAGTTCTTTGTAACCAAATGTCTCTCAGAGGGGCGTGGGGAGGGGCTCCTTATTTTCATCTAAAGTAACAGACAGAGAATCAGCACTTTGGAAACAGGGCTGAAACAGAGGGGATTATGGGTAATGCTGCAATGATCTGTTTAGTGTTTGGAGCCAAACACTTCAGAGACATGTTTGTATATCTGAGACCTGTAATATATTGGTGAAAAACAGTATAATAGGGGACCTTTAAATATAACGTGGGATGGTTTAATCTATACCAAATATTCAATTTTTTTGTAGCAAAATATGAATTCATAAAGTATATCTGTAAAATAAATGTAGTGGAGTAGAAGTATAAAGAAAATGAAAATGAAAATACTTGGTAAAAAAACTAAAACCAAGTACCTCAAAGGTGTATGTATTTTAGAATCTGAAATCCTTTATCAGTCCCACAGCAGGGACATTTATATTGCTACAGAAAAAGTGTCATAGAAGCAAAAGTGGCATGCAGGTAAAAAAAAGGCATGCAATAATACACAATAAGCTACCATATTAATATATAGAAGTAAAGCACACATAAGTTATACTAGAATACAAATAAAGACAAATAAGTACAGACTAAAAGAAGCCTTTACGTTAAAACGTGAGGGGAGCAGGGACACATTCTCCCCTGACTACACTTGAGATCAACACAAATGTACAGAATGGTGTAAACACACACCGAGCTGAGAATACCTGGCTGCGAGGTAATTAATCGCTGTGGTATTTAGGAGTGTTCCACTAGACAAATATGACAGAGACAAGGACAATTAGCTTGGCTGTTTAAGCTAAATTAACTCTCTCTGCTATTACACCCCGGTGCCAAAGCACAAGTCCTCCCATAGGAAGGCCGCTCAGCAACTGTGGAGGAACTAGAGGAGGGAACAGCACCAGGGGAGGGGGTTTGTTGTGAGAAATAATTGGGAATATATTTCAATGATCTGCTGTGTCACTTTCTGAGGTGAGTTCCTTTTGCAGGTATACGAGAGGTTTCATTTTGTAAATCAGCATGTGTACAGTGTTCCTGGACAACATCGTACTAAGCATACTGGATGGCATCTCTGAAACAGGAACGCTTGTTGGAAATAAGACAACTTGCTTTTTGTTGGAACACAAGCATTTAGACTGTTTACACAGAATTCATTACCTATAATCAAAACCAGTTCATTTCAAAATCCGTAAATACAAATTAAAAAAAGATGTATTCCTGGTTATAAGCTATAGCCTGTAGCACTGATGCACAATTCATCTGAAAAGTCATTTAGGCAGAGCAGAGGGTTCCTTTCAGTCCTGACCAAATAATTGGGGGGGGGGATGAGTTTGAGAAAAATGTAGAGGAAGGAACTTTTTTTAAATAAATTAATATTTTCTTTCATTTCCACCCGGTGCATTAGGTACACCTGGATAAAAACAGATGCAATATTAATGCAAACCTCAGCTCAAGTCCTTAAACGTCTACAAACAGGACTTTCAACATGATTGAAACCCCGTCAATGTC